CAGCTGGTCCCACAAGTCCCAAAGCCCTCAAGGAGTCAGCTGGATCGCTCCGGGGCTGGGCTGGAGGGGGAAGCAGGGTCCCGCTCCCAGCCCTGCGTGGCGGCAGGAGCTACGTACACCAAATACTGGTCTCGCAGTTTGCGCAGCTGCATGAGGTCTGGCTTGAGGCTGTTCATGCGCTTGTCGATCTCCCGGTTCTCCGAGGCTTGTTTCTTCAGGTCTTGCTCCAGCTTCATCTTGCTGTCGTGGATCTCCGTGATGCGAGACTTGAGCTTCTCCGAGTTCATGAGGATCCTGGGGGAAGGAGGGGGGTGGGTTTGGGCTGTGAGCCAGAGCGAGGGAGGCAGAGGAGGCAGCCTGCCAGCTCCAGCCCACAGCACGCTGCTGGAGAGACAAGGATCGCACACGCCTCGGCTCCGTGCTGGGCCAGGATGATCCTTCCAGCCCCCCGAGAGCCTCTCTCCAGACAGGGCAGGTCACCATCATCCCCCTGTCCTCACCTTTGCACCTCCTTCTCATTGCCCTCCCGTCGGAAGCGCTCGATGTACTCCTTGCTGCATTTCTCCTGCGTCTGACACTGCTCCTCAAAGATCTTGATTGTCTCGTTGAAGGCCTCGATTGCCGTCCTCTTCATCTGCAGCTCCTGCGGAGAAGGGAAGGGAGGGCTGAGGAAGGGGAAGCGTTTGGGCAGGTTTCTGCCCTTTGGCGTCCCCTCTTCCTCGCCTCCCAAAAGCAGCACTGTCCTTGCATCCCCCTCTTCAAAGCACACTCTCCGGGGAGTCCCCTCAAGTCCAGCAGCAGACGAATGGGGCAGCACGTGCCCGATCTCTGCCCTCCTCCATGCACAGCAGCGCGGGTGCCAGCGTTCAGGGGACGTCGGAGCAGCCCAGGAGGCCCATGCTCCCAAGGGGAAGGCAGCGCCTGCGTACCTGGGATGTGCGCGTGTACTCCTCGTACAGCAGGTCGTACTCCCAGCTCTTGTCCTGGTACTGCTGGTGATAGACCTTCAGCTGCTCCCCAACGGCTTCCACACTGTCCTCTTTCACCACTTGGTCCTGCCATATGCAGAGTCTCGGTCAGGACCCGCTCCTGCCCCACGGCCGCCCCTCTGCAAGGCAGCTGGTGCCATGAAACCCCACCAGCCCTGAAGCAGGTTGACCGTCACCCCACAATGTCCAGCACAGGGGAAGAGGTGGGACATTGTCATCTACCAAAAGGATGAGGGATGGATGAGCCAATGCCCCCGGTTCTGGCTGTGCTGGCCAGCAGCGTCCCTGTGGCACAGGCCTCACCTGCTGGTACTTGGAGATGGGGTAGAGCAGCCTGGTGTCCAGCTTGGCGTTGTACTGGGCAAGTGACTCGTGCCGGTAATGGGTGATGAGCTCCACCACTGAGCCGAAAGTCAGCGGCTCTGAGAAGCCGTACTTTCCCTCCCGGTGAAAGATCTTGATCAGTTTATTATTGCCTCCCTTCCTGCAGCGAGGAGGGGAGAGGAGAGGGCACTTACCACCAGCCCAGCACCCTGCATCAGCCTGGATGCAGCCCGAGGTGCCAGCCTGACGTCTGGGCGTCCAGGCAGCTGTAGTCGGCTCGTGCCGACAGCCGCACCCCTGGTGACGCGTGGACCCCACCCCGTACCTGAGCGTGAGCGTGTACTCCCCTTGGATCTTGCTGGAGGCATCGCGGACCAAGAAGGTACCATCTGGCGTGTCCCGTAGCTTCTCGTTCACCTCCTCCCTGCAAAGAACGTGATTGTCACGGCCTGTGAGGTGCAACCAGAGCTCCCCCAGGTAACTCGACGGACAGGGCACGCGGGACGTGAGCTGCTGGCCACCCTCTTACCGGGAAATGTCACCCCAGTACCACTCGGCGTCCTGCAAGGGCACGCTGTTCCCGTTGGCCAGGCTGGCTGCACTGGGCTTTGGCTTAGGCGGTTTCGGAGGCAAGGCTGTAAGAGAAGGAGGGTTGAGGCATGGTGAGCCCAAGTTGCAGCTCCCCACCCTTGCAAAGGACAATTCCTGGGAGCACTGAGCACCCGTCCCTGCAGTGACCATCCTGGGAAGCCCCACTTGGCCGCCACGCTGCCGGGAGCTGCTCCAGGAACATCTACAGCAGCAGAGGAGCACCTCCAGCTGTCCTCTGTGCACGGCTGGAGAAGTGCCCTCGGCAACCCGCTCATGGGGGCAGAGACTCCACACCCACGGAACACAAACGCCGGCGCCTCAGGCCCCAAGGAAGGGGCATCTCAGTAGTACCTGGAGGCAACTGTTCTGGCTCCAACTCCTTTGTCTGCAGAAGCATCTCCAGAAACAGCACGGAGAAGTCAGGACTCAGCTCCGGGCTGCAGGGAGAGAGGAGCCAGGATCAGCAGACGTGGGGAGAACTTGGCACCGCTCCTGTGCCCCCCGGGCAAAGGGGCAGCCAGGGTTGGCTGGTCCATCCCAGCGCAAGGCCTAGCTGCCAGATCCCAGGCTTGATACAGAAACAAGGGCTCTGCCCTGGCTTTGAGTCCCACCTCCGCGTGCTGCCAGCAGTTCAATCCCACGTGCACCAAGGCAGGGGCTGCGGGCAGACCTGCTGTCACAGGCTGGGGG